ACAAAAGTTGGGTATTCATCCTTTCTGAGGGAGGCATAATACTCCATAGTGTATATGGACCACATCTTCCTTATCCATTCGTCCGTTGAAGGGCATCTTGGTTCTTTCCACAGTTTGGCGATCATGATCATTGCTGCTATAAACATTGGGGTACAGATGGCCCTTCTTTTCACTACATCTGTACCTTTGGGGTAAATACCCAGTAGTGCAATTGCAGGGTCATAGGGAAGATCTACTTTTAATTTCTTGAGGAATCTCCACACTGTTTTCCAAAGTGGCTGCACCAGTAGCTTTCTTATACACTAACAATGAAAATATAGAAAGGGAAATTAGAGAATTGATTCCATTTACTATAGCACCAAGAACCATAAGATACCTGGGAATAAACCTAACCAAAGAGGTAAAGGAACTGTACTCGAGAAACTACAGAACACTCATGAAAGAAATTGAAGAAAACACAAAAAGATGAAAGACCACTCCATGCTCTTGGATCGGAAGAATAAGCATTGTTAAAATATCTATACCGCCTAGAGCAATCTATACTTTTAATGCCATTCCGATCAAAATACCCACCGGTATTTTTCAAAAAGCTGGAGCAAATAATCCAAAAATTTGTATGGAATCAGAAGAGACCCGAATTGCTAAGGAAATGTTGAAAAACAAAAATAAAACTGGGGGGCTCTCTGCTCTTCCCCGTTCGACATACAGCCGCATCTTCAGGTGCAGTGCCAGCCGCATGCCCGAGACACGATGATGAAGGTCGGAGTGAACGGATTTGGCCGTATTGGGCGCCTGGTCACCAGGGCTGCTTTTAACTCTGGTAAAGTGGATATTGTCGCCATCAATGACCCTTTCATTGATCTCAACTACATGGTCTGCATGTTCCAGTATGATTCTACCCATGCTAAATTCCACGGCACAGTCAAGGCTGAGAATGGGAAGCTTGTCATCAATGGGAAGTCCATCTCCATCTTCCAGGAGCGAGATCCCACCAACATCAAATGGGGCGATGCTGGTGCTGAGTATGTTGTGGAGTCCACTGGGGTCTTCACCATCATGGAGAAGGCTGGGGCTCACTTGAAGGGCGGGGCCAAGAGGGTCATCATCTCCGCTCCTTCTGCTGATGCCCCCATGTTCGTGATGGGTGTGAACCATGAGAAGTATGACAACTCCCTCAAGATTGTCAGCAATGCCTCCTGTACCACCAACTGCTTGGCTCCTCTCACCAAGGTCATCCATGACAACTTCGGCATTATGGAGGGACTCATGACCACCATCCATGCCATCACTGCCACCCAGAAGACTGTGGACGGCCCCTCTGGGAAGCTGTGGCGTGAC